GAAAACAATGTGATTTTGATTAGAGAATAGCTGAAAAAATTATTGCTTATGAATGAAACGAATATTATTTGCCATAAGAAATGAAAAATGTGAGGAATTTCAAGAAGCATGAGACTTGTATGAAGTGATAAAAGGTGAAGAAAGCAGAACCATTAATAAACATTAATGACACTAGTAATGTAAATAATAACAATACTAAAAAGTAGTTGATTACTAATGAATTATAATAAACAATCTCAGTTCTGATAGTGATGCATTTCACCCTATCAGAAGAACAGTGAGGAACTATAGATAAGGAATACAATATATAGTCTCAGACACAGTTGCTGTGTTGGTTGGCTTTAAATATTTTTTCCTCGTTATAAGGAAAAGTTTAATAGGGAAATGTTTATAGGGAAATGATGCAAAACCAAAAGGCAGTAACAAATATCTTTTTAAAAACAATACGTAGGGGACAGCTAGGTGGCGCAGTGAATCAATCACCAGCCCTGGAGTCCAGAGAACCTGAGTTCAAATCCAGTCTCAGACACATAACACTTACTGGCTATGTGACTCTGGGCAAGTCACTTATCCCCAGTTGCCTTACAAAACAAAACAAAATAAAAAATAAAAAACCAGTATGTATGTGATAAAAACTATAGAATTCTATGTGTCAGTCAATCATTAAACACTTATTAACCACTGTGCTAAACAATGGAGATAAAAAAGAGGCAAAAAAAACCCCCCTACTCTCAAGGAGCTCACAGTTAAGGGGAGATAACCTGCAAAAAATTATATGCAAAAAAAAAAAGCTACATATAGGATAATTGGAAATGCTCAACAGAGAGAAGCATTAGGTACAGGGATCTAGAAAGGCTTCCTATAGAAGGTGGGGTTTTATTGGGATTCAAAGGAAACCAGGGAAGCCAGGAGGTGGAGCTATGGAGAGAGAGTATTCAGGTATGGGGAACAATCAGTACAAATGACTAAATTAGAGAAAAGGAATCCATTGTAACAGCAAGGAGATGAGTGTCACTAGATCACAATATCTGTGGTGGTATGTGAGATGGAGAAAGAGAGATGGTAGTGACATGATCATATAGTGCTTTAGAAAGATCACTTTGATCACAGATTAGAAGATGGACTAGAGTGGGAAGAGACTGGAAGCAGGAAGACCAAGAAACAGGTTATTCAATAGTGCAGACACAAGATGATAAATACTTGCACCAGGGTGGTGGCTGTATCAGAGTGGAGAAGGGGATGTATATGAGAAATGTAATGAAGGTAAAGTGAACAGATATTAGCAATAGATTGGATGAGTGGGGTTCAGAAAGAGTAAGAAATTCAGAATGATATCTAGGTCGTGAGCATAGGTGACTGGGAGGAGTGGTACCCTCCACAGTAGTAGGACAGTTAGGAAGAATAGAAGGTTTGGGAGGGAAAGATAATGAGTTTAGTTTCGGACATATTGAGTTTAAAATGTCTAAGGGATGTTCAGTTTGATATGTCCATTAGGCATTTGGAGATATGAGTCTGGTGCTATTATTATTCCTATTTTATAATAGGGGAAATTGAGGCAGATAGCTGTTAAGTGACTTGCCCATGGTCATATAGCTAGTAAGTATCTGAAGCTGAAGTGTCCTGAATCCAAACCCAGTACTCTATCCTGCTACCTCTAAGAGAATTTCCAAGTTCATGAATATAGAAATGGTGTATCGAATGCAATACATACTACCATAGCCACCTGTATTAGATTTCACCACTTCCCATCCCCTACCTCTACTCTTGGCTTCTTAAGGGGGTTCAATGGCATCTAGGCTTTATGAAAATGACTCCAGCTCCTGGCAATGCTGTTCCCTCAATTTCAGGGAGTGGTCCCTGTTATCCTAATTCTGTTTAGCCACTGAATCAGATCAGCTTTTACACAGGAATATTTACTTCAAAAGGTATAATCACAAGTGTACAAATAATTTACTCCCTCAACATGTAATAAAGAGAAGAATAATCTCTTTACTTCCCTTACACCACCTTAGTCTTTGGGGAGAGAACGGAATTAGGTTCCTAGCTTAGCTTGGTTCCCATAAAGCGCAGTACCAGTGTCAAATCCAAAACCCCTCCATCTCAAGTCCCAGGCACACTGGATTCTCACACCTTCCATGTTTTTCTGGCTGGTTGTCCCATCCCACCTACAGTCCTGGCTCCAGTGTTGGGTCCTATGGAAATTGCCTCTGACATAACACCAAGGAGGATAAACAACACAGAACAGAAACAAACACTCCAGGCCCATTTCTTGGAGTCTGGGTAAAAGAGCAGGAGAGAGCAGAAGAAAGATAACCTTTCCCTTTTACCAGTTCAGTTCATGGTATCCATGCTGTGGGCAAACTATGATTGTCACTTTCTGGACACAGAAAATAAAAGTGGCCAGAAAGAGAGTGACTGGCTCAGTCTTGTCATTAAGCCACCCCCACCCATGTGGATGAGGATGCAGAGGCCTCCATGTGAGTCAATCTCAACATGTTCCAAAGGCCCCTAAGGTTGCCTCCATGTTAGATGAACCGGGCATGCTCAGAGAAGCCTGGGTTACACAAGAGCATGACCATCTTTGCATATGGCTGGCATATAATTGAAGAGTAAGTTGTGCTAAATGAGTAAATTGAAGAACTGTGAAGTTAGGATGCTGTTATATATGTATGTTGAAGTCCCCTAGTATGAGAACATGAGTTGACAAGGAGAGAAAGAGTGTAAACTCACTGAGAAAAGAAGGGGAGTGTCTTGGAGATTTAGAGACAATAGTTCCCAGAATTTTGATTGGATGATAGATATGGATTGAATGTGAGGCTATTAGTTAATTTTTCTCAGTATTTTTCTTTTCCTTTCACTTCTTCCTTCCTTCCTTCTTCCTTCCTTCCTTCCTTCCTTCCTTCCTTCCTTCCTTCCTTCCTTCCTTCCTCCCTTCCTCCCTTCCTTCCTTCAACACTATCTATTGAACTTTGGACAAGTCATGTTTATCTTTGTAAAGTATGTATCATTTAACACCCTAAGCCTACAATTTTAATGAGTTCAGTTCTTCATATATTCCAGTGAAATTTCATGAACTATTTCTTTAATTGTTCACTTCTTTTTGTTATCCATTTAAAAATGATTAGATTTGATAGTGAATTTTTATCTCTTGGCAGATGTGCTGATTGAAAAAGACTCTTGCTGGAACTAACCACATTGTGTATCAATAATTCGTTGAAGGGGTGAAGCCACAACAGATGACCCTCTAAGGAAACAAACTGTGCTACCAGCCTTGGTCAGTGATCTCACATGTGTATCTGTGTACTGGCCACTGTGGCAGTCAAGTAAGTTTGTTGGATATCTGGCATTGACCTATCTCAACTCCTGGTAAAAAAACTTGTGGGATTTCTCAGTGCCCATAGCCCTTTCCTGGATGACACTATTGTTATACTTCCATATACAATATTTCAATTCAAGAAGCAGTTAATAAGTACCTATCATGTGCAAGGCACTATTCTATTGACTGTAGAGACAAAAGACAAAAATGGAGATGTCTTTGACATCCAAAGGTTTACCTTCCGCTTTCAAAAGAAAAATATTTCCCCCACCCCACCACCTCAGGATAAATAAATGGAGATGGATCTATTCATAGGAATAAATATTTAAAATGGGACAAAACCACTTTCTATTTGATACATTTAATGGCTGGGTTTATGTGAAAGTGTCTTACAGCTGAGTTATTTTGCAACTTCACCATAACCTGGGATTCCATTGGCTGGTCCACTGACACAGTTTCCACCAAATGCTAACTGAACAGGCTTGGCAACTCTGTAATCTAGGTCCTGTGTCTGGGCTTTATGAGGATAGACCTCAAAGACACAGTTAGACAATACTGACAATAAACACAATTAATGAATTCATTGGGTAGACTGGGCCCAACCCTCACTGGCATTGTTAAATCTGCAGCTTCAATCACTGTGAAAAGCCTGATTGCCCAGTTCCCATGCTAGAAGTAGAGTTTCCAGATTTACTCTAGCAAGGGTGACTCCTGCAGTTTGCTTTAATTGAAATGAATAGGACAGTTATTCTATCTAATAGGAGAGGAAACTTTATATTTTCTGTAGGAACAGGTTCCAGCCCCAAAACAAGTGGTACCAAAAACTCTCATAGCAAAACCATAACACCCAAACCCTGGCTCCCTTCAAGACTCAGCTCAAATCCCACCTTCTCCAATGGGCCTTTTCCATTTCTCCCCCACCCCTACTACCAAAACCTTGGCTTTGAAATTACCTTGATCTATGTTCTATATATTTCATATGTATGTATTTGTTTTCATGTGGTTAGATTGTGAGCCTCTTAAGCAAGAGATCATTTCTGGGAGTGGAGACGGAAGGATGTCTTTTTTTTGGCCTTTCTTTGTGTCCCAGTGCTTAGCACAGTTCCTGCTATGTAATAAGCACTTAACTTCTTGTTGTTGATGATGATGGTGATGGTGATGATGATGATGATGATGAAGACGACACAGTATGGGGCATAAATGATGGCAGGCACATTGTTACTTTTTGGCGTCCCTTTAAAAAAGATAATTTTTACTTTTCAATAGAGACTGCCTTACAAAGAAAGAGTTAAAGTGGCCTTGCTTAAAGAGGGAATTGGCTCCTAAGAGGCTGTATCATTAATTTTAATAAAGATTAAGTCAAAATGGGAGACATAACTCAACCAGAATATTGGAATGGTATCAGAAGTAGAGAAAGAAAAAGAATACTAGCAAAAAAATGTTTTCAAGAAATGCAAAAGTACAATGGATAAAATATGGGATAGTACAGAAAAAAAAAACCCTTAAAAAAAAGATGGGTTGCGATAGGGTAGTATACTGATTGTACCCAAGACAACATCTGCAAAACAAATGAAAGTTTAGTGAAAAAATCCCGAAGAGTCTGGAGGCCTGTTTTCTCAATCTGGTCTTGCTCTCCTTTCTCTAGGTGATCTTCAACAAGCAATTAAAATTCCCTGGATCTTGGTTTCCTCACCTGTTAAATAAGGAGGATGGCCTGTCAGTGTCTCAGTCATGGAAGGGTCAGAGATCTATTTTAACTCATACCTGAACAAGAATTTTCAATTAAAATTGAAGTGTACTATATCACAGCATTCTTCTCGAAAGAACTCACCTGGAAATATTGAGAGGAAACTTCTGCATAGCAAGGTAGCCATTTCACTTTTAAATAGATAACTATTTAGGAAGTTTTCCCCTATAATAATATTAATAGCTAGCATTTATATATAGCACTTCAAAGTAAGCTTATGTTATCTTATTTGATCCTCACAACAACTATTATGTAGGTGCTATTATCCCCATTATACCGATGAGGAAACTTAGGTCAAAAGACTTGTCTATAGGCACATACTTATTGAGAGTCAAGAGGTAGAATATGAACTCAGATCTTGCTGACTATAAGTCTAACCCCTAACCACTGTGTCATCTAGTTGCTCTTCACGTTATACCAAGCCTTTCTATCCTTATGCAATTTCTGCTCACTAGTCCCAATCCTACCCTCTGAGGCCAAGCAGAACAATTCTCATCTCTTTTCCCATGACAGCCCCTTAAATATTGGAAGACAGTAATTATACATCCCTACCCCCAATTCTTCTCTTTTCTAGGCTAAACATCCCAAGTTTTTTCTATGAATACTTACATGGTTTGATTTTGAGGCCTTTCACTATTTTGATCATCCTCCTATAACCTATTATTGTCCTCTCTAAAATACGGCACACACAATTGAACATAGTATATTAGATATGATCTTATTGACTTATGTAATATGATGGAGCTTTCACCTCCACAATGCTGGTCTATGTTTCCCTTTATACAACTTAAGACTGTGTTAACTTTTTTGTCTGCTATATCAAACTGTTGGCTCATGTTGAGGTTACAATCCATTAAATCCCCCAGACCTTTTGCAATGGAACTGCTATTTAGTCATGCCTCCTTATTTTTATTTATGAAGTTGATTTTTCAAACCCAAGCATAAGACATTTATCCCTATAAAAATCAATCTTTCTAGATTTGTTCCAGTGTTCTGGCCTGTTGAGACTCTGTTATCAAGTGAGTTAGCTATTCCTCATAGATTTATGTCAGCTACAAATTTGAGAAATGTGCCATTTATTACTTTATCCAAGATGTTCACAAAATGGCCCTAGCACAGATCTTTCAGATATTCCATTGGAGACCTCCTTCTACATTAATACCAAATCATTAATGGCTGTTCTTTGATTGCCATCATTTAACTAGCTCTAAATCCACCCAACTGTACCATTACTTATCTCACATTCCTACATCTTTCCCCGAAGGACATCATGAGATGTTCTCAAATTCTTTGCTATAATTGAAGTATACTATAGCCATAGCACTGTCCTGTTCTACCCTTTCAATAACCCCATCAAAAAAGGAAATGAGGTTATTCAGGCATGATATATTCTTGATGAGCCCATTTTAGCTCTTTGTGATAATTGTTCCCTTTTCTAGATATATACTAGGCATATATTTAATATTATTCTCTAGAGAAGTCTTGTCAAACTCAAAAAGAAGTGAGAGCCATTAAATCATAGAGAAGAATCTCTGCATATTGATTCAGAAAACCATGCATGATTATATATTTAAGTTTTTTACTAAAACATTAACACACTAAAATTAATTAGGAACTATATTTTCATTTGGTTCTGGCTGGACTCAGGAGTGTTACATGCTGCAAGGGGCCTGAGTGTGTTTGACACCCTTACTTTAGAATTTTGCTATCAATGACAAACTTACTAGGCTGTAGTTTCTAAAGTTTCTTACCATTTCAGAAAATCAGGACCATATTTGCTCTTCTCCAACCCTGCACTACCTAAAACCTCCAGGATTTTTTATGGATCACCGATAACAGCACATTAATCACATCTGCCAGTTCTTTCAGTATCTGAAGATGTAGTTCATCAAGGCCAGGTGACTAGACCTCATTTAGATGTTCTCTTACTGTCTTTTTTACTTATCTTTTTGTTTCTGTCCTATCTAGTCCAAAGATCATTCTCCTTGACAGAAGATAGATGAGTGGGGTGGAAACAAGAAGTAAGAAGAGTTGAGCAGCTCTGCCTTCTTTGTTCGCTTCACCTTGTCCCTTGTGCTTTGGACAGTGGTTATAATCCTTCTATCATCTTTTTTTTCCCTCAAATATGCAAAAACCCCTTCTTGAACTTAGCCTTCAGATGCCAAGTTAAGCTCATTCTGAACTTCACCATTCCAGTTATGATTCCTACACCCTTCCTTGCCACCCTCGTTTATTCAACTTCTACAATTTTCACTTATTTCTAGCTTCTTTACATTCATTTTAAAAAATCTAGTTGCCAAGTTCACTGTGCATTATTATTAATCTTATTAGAGAGCTCACTCTTTTTCTCTTCATCAGAGCTACTTCTCAGGTCTTCAAATTTTCATACCTGAGAGTTTTCCACCTTTCCTGGGCTGAGTGATTAATTCTGCCATCTATCTGTTTTCAGTTATTACTATCTGATCCACTATGTGGATACATACCTTCTTTGATCTCATTGGTGTTATCCCCCTTGTTGTCATCCTTAGTTATTTTTTTTTCTTTCCAGCTCATATTATTCTGTGCTTTAGCACTCCTGATCATGCCATGTTTTTGTATTCATTCTCCATTACCTATCTCTGCTTTTAACTTCTGCATATATCATTTAAAAATCTCAGTTACACAGTTACTGAGTTTCCTATGTAACTATATCTTTATATAACTCCTTTATTTCTTCTTCATAGAAATTATTTTTCTTTATTTCTTCAGAATTTTATTCTTCATGAAGAATGCAAGAGAAGCATAGGGAGGTACATGATAATGATGCAAAAGGAAGGGAATATATGAAATGACTATGAACGGAAGGAACCGCAATGAAAATGGAACTGAACACTGAAATTATAATAATCCATCAATCACAAAGCATTTATTAAGAGCATACTCTGTTCCAGGGTAAATGCTGGGGATTTGAAGAAAGGCAAAAAACCTTATCCATGTCCTCAATGAACTCACATTCTAATGGAGGAGACAATATGTGAACACTTTTGTATATACAAGCTATACACGGTATAAATGGGAGGTAATCCCAGAGGGAAGGCACTAATGGAGGGTAATGAGGGAGGAGGGAAGTCAAGTATCAAGTTTGGCCCTAAAGAAGTCAGTCAGTCATTTAACCACCACTTAATCAAGTCAAGTCACCAAAGACTGATTAAGCTCCTGTATTTCTAACCTCTGGGGTATAAAGAAAGGTAAAATGTGTGTGTGTGTGTGTGTGTGTGTGTGTGTGTGTGTGTATGTGTGTGCATATAGTACCTGCCTTCAAGGAGCAGGTAGGATGAAATATACCTTTCTCCTTTCTTTGCAGAGGTTGGGGACTCTGGATGTGAACCATCACATATATTGTCAGACTTGGTTGATGTGTTGGTCAATTTTGCTGACCTGGTTAAAAAATTAATAAAGATTGCCTTTCTGGGAAGGGGAGGAGAAAGGTATATATTTGGAAATGAAGGTGATGTAAAACCAAGAAAAAATTTTTTTTAAAGATTTAAAAAGATTTTCCTTCTTGAAAACTTCCCATTTTTTCTGATTTCCTTTGAAAATCTTGACTCTCTATGATCCTATATACCTTTTCTCTGAGACCCTGAGTATCTGTTTTTTCCATATCTAGGATACATGGCAAACCACTCCCAGATTTTCATGTCTTCACTATCACAGATTCTAAAATGGAGTAAATAAGTTCCTCCTTTTTTTTTGTGAATTCTTTTAGTACCCTGGGAGGTAGTTAATCTGGGACTGGCAACTTGAAATCATCAAGTATAGCTACAAGCTATAGAGTAGTTCATTGGAAAGCTCATCTCCAGGGCTAATATTCTATCATTCCATAAGTTCCCATGATACCAAGCCTCTAGTCAGAGTTTCTAGGCATGACAGGTACTTCTTATTTGCTTTTATATTTCCCTGTAAAAGTAGTCCCATCTCTACCTTGGAGTTTGGGGCAGTGGGTCATAATTTTAGTGTCTTGATTTCGAAATGCTAATCAAGAAAGATACATTTATGTATCTCTGAAGAATCATCTCTGTGTATGTGACCATGAGAGAAAAAAAGAGTATTAAGGAAGGGTGAAGGGAAATTACCTTCTCAGTCACTTGCATTGCATCCTATTCAGCTAAAACAGCCACTATAAGAAAGTTCATGCTGCTACCTTTTTCTCCCCCAACAGAAGGCTAGAACTTTTAATTAAAGGATAATTCTTTTGATGTCTAGAAACATTTGCCAAAAGCTTAACTGCTACATTTGTTTCAAGGACTTTCAAATCACTAGGGCTAAACTGAGATATTTCTTCCTGTCATGCCCCTCAGGTTTTTAGGACAAAGTCTAACACGCTGAGAAAAAAGTCTACTCCTGCTTTCAGTTTTAAATGGTTTAATCAAATTAAGTGTTCATGGGAATAAGTAAATAAGCATTAGTGAAACACTTCTTTAAAACTCTATCACTTTGTCTTCCCAGGAAGAAGTGATCAATGGTATTAAATTTTTGTAGAAAAAAAAATGAGTACACTAGGCAACAGATCTGCCCAAGTTTAACTTGTTGCAGAATCCTTTCATTAAAAGTTTTTTCTCTTGGAAACCGGAATTTCAGAAAGCTTTATTGACACAGATGATTTCCATGTCCTCCCTCCCCCAACAATAGTAATGCTACTTTAAGAATTCAAGAGACAAACTGAAAAGCAGTAACAGAAAATGTGTGAGAAATTTAGAGAAGGCTGGTCATGAAGAAGCTATTGGACATCATTAGATGCCAACAAGACAGTTTTCTCCTCAAATATCTCTTATCTCAATCAGTAACCATATAGGAATCCACTCCACTGTCTTAACAATGAACTGGAGATATATATTTTTTCCTCCCTTAAAAATGGACAATTAACTTGAGCTTAAGAGAAAGTGAAGATAACTGATGAAATTGTCCCCCCTCAGAATGGAAGTTAAGAAAGTATATTAATTGCAAATAAGGATTATTTATTCCTTTGTATTTGTATCCCTGGAACACAGTGCAGTGCCTGGAATACAGCAGGCACTTAACAAAGGCTGTCGATTGATTGAAATTCTCATGTGCTTTTGCTCCTGCAGAACAGAGAGCAGAA